CCAGCCCCCCTCTCGTCCCCCCGAACGGCACCCCAAACAGCGGCGACCCCTTTGGTCGCCGCCCTTCGGCCGCCGGCCCCGGCCGTTGCCGCGGCTTTGACTCTGCAGGGCGCCTCCGAGACCCGCCCCGTCACGCTCCGCGCGCGCCCGATCACCTGGGCTGGCGGGCGGCGCTCTCCGGCGCCGCGTGCGGCCGCGCTGGCCGGTGGAGCTGGCTGCCGTCGAGGTCGCAGCCGCGTGCGTCTGCCTGCATTCGCTTGCCCGGGAGCGGCGTGATGCTGGAGGTGGGCGGAAGCGTCTCTTGCAGCGCGGGGTCGGTGTTTCCTGCCTGGGGGGCCGTTCCCTCCTGGCCGTTGCCGCGGCTTTGACTCCGCAGGGCGCCTCCGAGATCCGCCCCGTCGCGCACCGCGCGCGCCCGATCACCTGGGCTGGCGGGCGGCGCTCTCCGGCGCCGCGTGCGGCCGCGCTGGCCGGTGGAGCTGGCTGCCGGCGAGGTCGCAGCCGCGTGCGTCTGCCTGCATTCGCTTGCCCGGGGTTGCTTATTGTATGTCACAAAGGGACTGGATGCATGAGCTAAAAATGCATATCACAGCTTTTGAGGTCATATTTTATTTTTATTTATAGGTACACTTATTGATAAAGCTATTATTAAAGGTTCAGATGCCCACAGAAAATATATCCCAAGTAATCCATTATTGAATGCAAAGTGATAAAAAATTCAGTATTTAGACTACTCTTGTTTGCAAGGAAAGAACTAGGAGCTCAGTCTACAACCATGTTACGTCATGAAACATCAGAGTGTACTGTACTGATCCCCTAATACAGAGGCCCAGAAGCTACTTGGGACTTGTGGGAGAGGGTGGGGAGAGGGATCATCTTATCTCCAGCCACAAATCAAAGATTACACAGAATAGCTCCAAGCACTGGCTGAGTGCTTTCTCTTTCCCTGCTACTTGCTGCCCCAGTCAGAACAGAGAGTAGAGCAAGACAGAGGAGGCACCTGATCCAGCTTGTATTTGAATGCCTCTTCCGTGTGCCTACTGAGTCCTGTTTTCCACAGACAGAAAGGGTTGGTTTATGTCAGAAAAGTAGGAGGGGCCTCATTCCCTTGACATCATTCAGAGTACTGGATTGGCAAATTCCAGATGTCATGCTGTTCTTGAGACCAAAAATGTATTCTAGTTCCTGCCTGAGAATCAGTCTTTGAAATACTCAGCCATATTCTGAACCCTTGTAAATCTGATCCTTCCCTCAATTTGTCGGGAATGAAGTATTTTCAAAGCTATGTTACAAAAAGATGCTTGTTAAGTGATTTAACTTTTAAGTTCTTCTAAGTCTCTCAGTGTGGTTCTGTATATTAGTGAGATGGGGTGAGTTGAAAATCCTTTATATGTTCAGTTGTAGGATTACTTTGCCACTGATTTTTCCCCTTTTTTGGCACTGCTGTTTATTCCAACCTTCACTTGGAATAAACAGTGTATACATGGGGATACAATATTCGCTGCAGGAGATAAGCTGTCCATGTAAGAAGTGTGTTTTGTGTGAACTGGTTCTCTGCTTAGTTTCATGGTTCTGTCATACTGATATTTCTTGAAAAAGAAAAAGTAACTAGGTCAAATAAACCATAGTAACAATTCTAAAATTACTAGACTTCTTAAATGGATACTCTTGGACTGACATTCTGCTATGGAACTTGAAAATAAATAAGGAGCTTTCATGATTGAGAATGCCATTCACTTCAAGGAATAGAAAGTGCTGATACTTCATAAGTTTGGAATTCTGAGGTAGAGTTCTAGATTAAGGAACCAATATGTTTTCTTATTTTTACACCTTAACCTAGATTACTTGGTAACACCTCTAACCTATTAAAACATGCTTGGTATCCTAGCTTGTTAAAATATAAATACTGTTCTTTGTTATATTGGGTATATGTACACAAATGCATGGAGGATAAATATTTACTCTTAAATTGCTCCACCTCAAACTTTTCCATTGATTTAATCACTACTGCAGTATGTTCATTTCCTTCATTGATCAAACAGCCAATAAAAAAAATAGATCTAGTATGCTGGGACTGTTTTGAGAAGTGTTTCACAGCAGTAACATACACAGGAGGAACCTCTGTTCTTAAGGAGACATAAATGTAAATTATCAGAATAAAATGCAGCTGCCTGGAAAGTAAATTCAAAGATTGTTACTTAAACTCCAATTCCTCATGTTTTTTGTTAATCAGGACAAAGCTCCTGAATCAAACCCCGTATGAGCAGCTGAGAAAGTGATCACACTAGGTAGGCCTGCTCAGCTAGGAATTTCTCTTGAGTGTGTTCTGTTGCAAAGAATGGGGATTGTACAAGTATGTGTTGTTGCATAGTTTCTGTAATTTTAATGAGACCTGTTCAGAAGTTCCAAAAGAAAAGTAGGGAGGACTTTTAAAGTAGTACCAACAAAGTCTTATGAGGTACTTGCAGGCCAGTTCTGGGAAAGGAGGCATAGTATATAATGAGGAAAAACCTGTTTGTGTTCCATAAATTCCTTACTGGTGGGGGCTTTCCAAAGTAAATGAGCAGTGGAATGTTTAAATAGTAGAGTTCATAAATGTCTCCTTAGCCACCTTTTGTGATTAACCTACTTTTAAAAAATGGCTTTTATATTTCCATCACTCAGGGTAGCATTAAATGTCTCTTTGTGTGTTCAGTATTCAATCTGCAGTGAACCACTAATAGAACTATCCAATCCTGGTGCCAGTGGATCCTTGTTCTTTGTCACTAGTGATGATGAGTTCATAATCAAAACAGTTCAACACAAAGAAGCAGAGTTTCTTCAGAAGCTGTTGCCTGGCTACTATATGGTAAATAAATTCAAATCCTCAGCGTTTCCTATTTAGTTTCTCTTGTGCATGTGAATTTTTACTTAGTACTTTAATGGCTTTATTCAGTGCTTCTTCATTTTTGAGTAATTTTAAACACTGCTTTCAGTGTTTTAAACATGTACTTCATATTTTACATTATTTATGAGATATAGGTGAACTTTCAAATATTCAAGGTTAACAGACTAATTCTCTTAATCATCACAATTACTGTGAATGATCATGATACTGATAGAACACCTATGTAAGACTACCACTGTATCCTGTTTTGTGGTGTTGACCTTGCATTGGTGTTGGTAAACCACATTGCCTGTATCAGTGTGCTATGTCAGCAAATTGTAAAATTTGCCTGTTTTGAATATTTTTTTATTTCTGGGTTGGTGCTGCTGTAATTCCCCTGATCCATTTTTTAGGATTGGGGCACAGGATAATGGGCAGTTACTTCACTATGCATCAAAATTTCCTCCTTGGTTGCTTTAAATATGGTTAGGCGTAATATCAACAGTGATATTGGCTCTATTGTCAGTTAGATTTCCCTTTAAATCAGGATTCAACACTAGTTAGAATTCCTTAGGTAAGGGGGAAATCTGGTAATAGTTCGAAGAGGTTAATGTCAGCACCTGTCTTAGCCATGGTTGAGGCTGGTAAGGGGAATGCATGCCTGAAGAGAGAATAGAAGATCCCCCTTTCATATTTAAATGCTGATGGAAAATTTACCTTAAGTATGTCACAGATGTTGATGGATTTTGTTTTGTTTTGTTTTTCAAGAATCTCAACCAGAATCCAAGGACGCTTTTGCCAAAATTTTATGGACTGTATTGTGTTCAGTCGGGGGGTATTAATATCAGGATAGTTGTGATGAACAATGTTTTGCCACGAGCATTGAAAATGCATTTCAACTATGACTTGAAAGGCTCCACATACAAAAGGAGGGCATCCAGGAAAGAGCGAGAGAAGTCCAACCCCACTTTTAAAGACTTGGATTTTTTGCAAGATATGCATGAAGGATTATATTTTGACTCGGAAACCTATAGTGCACTGATGAAAACACTACAGAGAGACTGTCGTGTAAGTGAAATCTTTTGATAGCACTTCCTTTTTTCACACCGTAGTTCTCTTGTTATATTAACACAGCAAAAAGATGAAGTGGTTATGTTACCATTTATCTATCTATCTATCTATCTATCTAATCATTAAAACTGTTTATAATAACTGAGGATCCCACTAGCTCTTCAAAGTGATATATAATTAAAAATAATAAATATGTTAGTCATTAAGTTATCATAATATACAGTAGTCCCCCAGAATTCATGGGGGTAACGTCCCTAAAGCACCCATAAATTATGAAAACCCACAAATTTGGTGCTGGCATTGGGCGCCGGCTGCCAAAGCGGTGCGGGCAGGAGCCACGGAGGTGGCTGCACAGAGATCGTTTGCTCCGAGCGAATCCAAACTCGGAGGAAACAATCTCCTTGTTAGTAAGCCGTTGCACAGTGAGGCATTGGCTTACTCACAAGGAGATTGACTTGGACTCGCTTGGAGAAGAATTCTGTGAAAGACTGAGGCCGCAACGCTGAACTGCGACTTCACGGGGGTATACTGCAAAAATAAGCAAAAATATTTTTCTGTTTCAGACAATATAAAAATGAAGAGTTAAAAATTAGTAGACACAAGAGTTTAACAAGGTTCTCTGTATTTTAATTTTAAAGATGTGCTTTTTGTTTTTCTCTTTTTAAGCATACCTATCATGGCTCTCTTAACATTTTTTCTTTAGTTCATTATCTCTCCACTTCCCCTCCCCCAGTTCTGTGTTAGGCCCTCATTTCTATTGATCATCATCCTTTAATCTGTCTTAGGTTGCAATGCTGTGAACACTCATTTCGGAGTGTCCTATAGAATTTGATAGGACTTACCTCTGAGTATATATGCATAGAATTGCACTTTTTCTTTCTTTGTCTCTGGGGAAAAAAACACTCCAAGTAATTATTTTAGGATAGACTATGAGGATCTTGAAATGTGGTGTTTATCAATCTTCTGTTGAACCATTCAAGTAAAATCATGGTGTTATTTTGTGTATTTATGCATTCCATTGCTTTTGTGAATTTGCATCCTGTACATGTTCAGACAGAAAAATGTCTAGTGGTGCTGGCTAGAAAATGCTGGGAGTTGGAGAGCTTTTTTTCTGTCTAAACTACACAGGATTCTGTGCTTGGAAGTTAAAATTAGTGGCTCACTTGCATTGGAACTTTTTCACAGGAGGTAGTACCTGGAATTTTGGTTTTGCTGTTCAGCCCATGAAACCTTGCTAAAAAAAAAGCAACTGTCATTGCATGTCTTGATGTTCCTGCATGGAAAGCACTTCCACAGGAATTACCATGAAGCCCATGTATGTGGTTTTTCCATCTGTGTGAAAAGTAGAGGCCAATTGGGACTCACCTACATGCAGCAAACAAGAAATACAATATGCATATGATAATCAGATATGACTAGATCAGAAATGAACAACTTTGGCAGGTCTCAGGGTCAATTCCCCCTGCCATTGAAGGCCACATTCCTCTGCTCTACCACTTTATCCAGTGGGGACTCTTCAGGAACATGGCTCTGTTTCTTAATGAGGCACACTTTCCCAGTGTACCATGTTTTAAAGGAAAATGGTGGCTCTTTTGTGGCAGCAGCAAATTTATCAGTGGGGGATAGGAACTGCAGAAAAGGATGGTGAGGGGGGCATGTGTTGCCCTTCCTTCATCTCCAGTATAATATCTTGTTGTCGGGCAGGGTAGATCTTTCAACTGTGTAAGAATGTAAAAAATAAAGGGAGGGAAGACTTAAGGCAAAGCATGAAAGTGCCCTGCTGAGAAACTAGCATAGCTGAGATGAGGGCTATATAACAAAAAGAGCATCTCTTATAAGAGGAGTGCAATGTTTGTGAGCACAGTACAGCATTGTGCCAAGTCTTATTAGTGAATATAAAGCCATTCTTTGTTTGGCTTTTGAGTGTGAAGCTGAGATGATCTAATAATCAGCTGTATGCTCATCAGGCATTTTCCCAAACAAAGGATATTGTTCCACATTTTAGTCTCTAGAAATGAATATTCCATGAACACAACTAAATAGTCATTATGTGTAAGAATATTTTCTCTGGAAACCCATACGCCCTTTACCCTTTATAATGTCAAGAGGTTAATAGTAGCATCAAAACTATAAAACTACAGTTGAATGTATGATATTGGAAAATAAGCAGATTACTTAAGTGAAAGTCAAATTTAAAAGAACAAAAGCTGATAACTTTTTCTGCAACATATGCGAAACTTTTTGCAATTCTGTTCCAGACTGTCTGCAAATCCTTCATAGAGGCTGCAATATGTTAACCTCACAGGATCACTCTGTAGTCTATGTGGGAAAACCTACATTGGAATATGTTACCAGCAGTAATGTTTCCTAAGACAAAACTATAGGAATATAGAGTCTTACTGTGACCTTCTTACTTAATCAACCCCTTGAATGTTGTGGTGTATATACACACATCTGTATATTTTTCCTCCCATCCTTTCTTCCTTACCTTCAATAATTGTTAAATTGATGGTTATTACATTGTTTTTGCTGATGTTTTTTCCCCTTACCAAAGGCAGTGCTTCAAGAATGATCAAGGCATTGCTTGAACACTTATTCTTATGTTACAACTATAGGAAAATACAAAGTAGATTCTTAGTGGGAAATGGTTGTGTGTCCTACTGTTTAATAAAGGAAGTTGACAGTTTGTAAAGAGGTAAGATTTACGGATTGAAAAACCTAGGCTAGACTAATACTGATGTTGGGAAGGAGCATTTTCTGGTGAAGGATTTTACTGTCCATAGATGCTATTATCTGTCCATCAAAACCTCGGTGCCTAGCTTGTGGGCTTTTCCAGTAGTAACTGTGGCCAGATGTAAATTCTATTCATTTTGTTTAATGAAAGGTTGAATCTAGAAATCTACCTGTGTAATGAAGGAGGGTTGCAGTACAAGGGTGGTTTCTTTCATGACCCTTCATCAAAGGAGGATCATTTGGGCCACAGAAAAGCAAATTTTCAGATTATTCCACAAAAGTTACTGGCCTGCAACATTTTTTAATTAATCTGCCTGCCCACATATATGGGTCTTGTCTCTCTGTGCTTGTTCACTGGCTGGATTGTTAGCACTTGCATCCACGTCCTTCAGCTTGGAAGCAAAGCACCCCCGTGACCATGTCATGTGCCTGAGGAAAGAAGACATTGTGCTGCTTTTACTCAAGCACCTGGGTTGGATTGCTCTGTTTCCATGCCTGAGAAGTAGGTGGCAGCAGAAGAATGCATGGTGTTCAGTTCACCAGTGTGCTAGAGATAGTGAGGTACTTTAAAAAGAGAGAACTAACAGCAGATTAGAGAGTTGGGGGCTCTTTTTCAGAATTACATCTCTCTCCAGACTTTGCTTCCTAGAAGCAAGACCTCCAGCACATTGTTTTTGTACATTCTCCATACTTTATGATTAGGAGAAATACTTTTTTCACAAGATAATGTTGAATTTCCTCCTATGTATTGCTTCTTTTATTCCACATTTATTCTTGAAGTCAGGCTCTGGGAAAATGAGGACAAAATCTGTTTTTCTTAACATTTTAAATATTTGGGTGAAAGGAGGAGTTCTGGTGTCATAAACCCTGAAGTAGTATATATATACCAGCAGGACATACGCTCAGTTTGTTCAGATAGTTTCATACCAGAGATAACTGATTATTTCTTTCCCAAGCAAAACATATTGCTGAAAAAGAATGAGCACTGTGCGTTTTTTTCCTCAAGAGAACTTCAGCTAACACCCAAAAACAAATATTAATTTATCTTGTAAAACAATATTCTCAAATTTTTGAACTAAGATCATCCTCCAAAGTGAATTCTACCTTTGGGACTTGCCAGCCTAGAAGTACCTCAAGAGCCATATAAGGAGCTGCACTTGGAAGGGGAAATCCTAAAAATCCCATGTGTGGAACTTAGATTTTGAGTTTGATATAAACTCAGAAAAGGGAGCAGGTCTCTTTAAAAAAAATCCTAATGAGTAATGCGTGATGGTGGTGATGTTTTGCAAGCCACTCAGTTATAACCATGCATCTTTCCATTAGTACAACCCAGGGTAACCTTGACTTAGGAGTAACTGAGTATTGTAGGCCACAATTCTGAGTACAGTTCTATAGGATTCATCTGAGACAGACAGCCTCATTGAAGTATTTCTTTCAAGAACTTGCTTTTGCATAACTCTGTAAGCTGGATTCAATTCTTGCTATGGATAACTATCTTCACTGTGTTCTGTTGGACATTAGAACTGTTGGTTTGGGCCACAGATACTAGAAACCCTTTTACTTTACACTGTACTCCCTGCTGTGCCATTGCGAGACATAGGATTAAATCAAATGTCATGCTAGTGGAAGTCTGCTATGGCAGTGGGCCTTCTTCCTCTTTCTTCCCCTCTGCAGCCTTCTGTGCTGCCTGAAAATCTGCTTCGTAAGATTTCTTGGCCCTCCAGAATAGAATTGGGGGGTTGCAGGAATAGTGGGGGGTATTGCTACCTTCAGAGTTTGATGAATGGAAACCAGTTCCCTCAGCAGAATGACAGCATTGGATCCAGCCCATAAAAATAATTCCACATCTTAACAAGGCCTTTACTGTTGGCATTAGGAAACTGATTTTGCCTTTTCTCAGGGGTAGTTCCAAACATTCACCTTTTGTTTAGGGAAAAAAGTGAGAAAACTATCATAATGAACAGTATGACTTGCTTTTCTCTGGCAATTGAAAGTTTTCCTGTGGTACTACATTATATTGCTTAACTAGAAAGTGAGTATAAGAAATAGTTAGAATATGAAATCTTTTGATAGTCTCTTTTTAGAATTTAAGGATACCCCATGCTATATTTAGTTTTAGCATTTAATGTGTTTTATGTCAGAAAATGATTTTAGCATAAATAATACATATATTCAGTCATAATCCTTCTAAGCTGTGACACGCAACTGAGTGTGTATTCAGGGATCTTAGATGAAAGTAAAAAATGCTTAACTTCCTGATTAAATATTTGCTTTATAGAAGAGTGAAGCAATTGTACCATGCCATTGAGCTGAAGTCAAGTTTTTTAAATTGTTTGCATCTTCAAATGTGTATCCTGGTGTGGTATAAATATAGGTTAATGGTAGTAGCTTCATTTGTGATAGAGCATGTGACCTTATTTTCTGACTTGAGTAAATTGTCATTATTGTATGATCAACTGGATGCCACGGTACTGAACTGAACCATTCATTCTCTAATAGTAAGAGCCTGTTTTGTTTCTGCGGAAGAAGGAAAAAGCAAACTATCCGTTAGAAACAGCATAATAATAACAACTCTGATAACACACATTGTGCTATAGTATTGTGCTATTGTTTCATATTCCTAGTTTGCAGAAGTAGTTATATCTTTGGTTCTTAGTTTTTCTTTTTCTGCCTTTAAATAAACCTTAACCTCAAGGTTGGCAGAGCACAACAATTATGCAAACAAATTTGAACTTGAGATAGCAACTGGGTTTGCACAACAGCAGTCCATTGTGGGTAACTATGATAGGCTGGAATGCCCTCCAAACAGATTGCTTTGCTTTGACAGCTGTAAGCAAGGGGAGTTCCCACTGCCAACAATGTGTTTGTCCTCGCCTTTGTTAGCAAAATAATACTCTGAACTTTCCTGTAGAAATTGCATTTTAAACATGCTTTCCTTAGTTACATAAACCAGGGAAATCAGGCTTACGGACAACACAAGAATTTCAGGTTCTGTGTCATGGTGGCAGAAAACATGCTTTCCATTCAGAAAAAAGGAAATTAGTTAAAAAAGGAAATTGAGGCAGCAGGGCTGGAAAATACCTCTGTTTGAATTCTTGGCGAGCAACTGCTACTCTGAGTAATCTTTAGGCTCGGTGGACCAAAGGCCTGACAAAATCAGGCATCTTCATTTAGCTTTCAGGTCTGTGTTTCAGCAACCACACCAGAATCAATTCCATTGGGGAACCACCATGTTATACTGTATTTCTACTGCTTTCAAGGAATGGCATATCCCCTCCTTACATATCAAATGGAAAAAACCATGATTGACAATGGAAGGAAAAAGTTACTTTTTGATAATGCAAGCAAGCTGCAGAGCTTTAGACTGGTGTCTCATTAAAATATCTCTGTGTGAACCAACTCACATTGTGGAAAGATTTCAGAGGTCAAGCACATAAGTAGCAGAAATGCTGCACTGGCCAAGACCCATGCTCCATTTGCAGAATCTTGTATTCTCAGAAAGATCCGATATTTTGTTTTGTGGTAATATTTTCATTCATGTTTAGATGCACAGATTTTTGTTATGTCCAAGGGGGATTGTTCTTCGCAAATACTCTATATTGCATTCCAAAAGTGAAGCCTCTTAGATCTCAAGTGGTAGAAAGTTCGGCATTGCGCTCAAGTGGGGCTTTTTTCTGGGCAAACAAAGATTGCACCATCATTGAATATTTTGATAAGGCATCTTAAAATAGCAGTGACATTGAAGAAGCTGCAGGGTAGGTGCTAAATTTCACACACAGATTGGCACTATCCAGCAGTAATGAAGATGGGAAAACTTGCAAATGTAACAAGGGAAGAATGGCAAGGCCTTCCTGTGGTATTCATAGATACTATTTAATCTCCCTATCCTGCTCCCATAAAAGATGTTAACAATAGACAACATATCTAAATGGTGATGGTTGTTTGAGTACCCCATACCTCTGCATGGACCCAGTTACTCTACATAAAGCTGGCAATAACAGTTTACTGACAGGCAAAACCATTAAGGAAGTTGAACAGAGCATTTAATTTCATGATAGATTTGTTTGTACTTAATATACAGTGGCTGCAACTTGGAACATATTTCAGCATTTTTTGCATAGGCAACAGTGGGGCTAAAGGAAGTCCACTCAAATTTTATCTCTGTGCATTGATGTGCATGCATTACAGCTGAGATATTTCTCACTTCAGAAGTTTAATATGTAAAGATCCTGCTTCCACGGAGGGATCATTTTCTAGAAAGGCATAAAGTTCAGTTGCTGGCTATAATCAAAACTCACAGAAGGAATAAACTATCCAGGCAGACTATGACAAGACCTATTCAGAGCACCAAGAAGGAAGAAAGTGATATTAGAACACTGAGCTATAAATATCCTTCCTCCTATACTTACTCTCCACTCATGATGGAATGTAATCCTAAGCTACTTTGGGATCCAATCTTGTTCAAAAACTATGGTATAAATATAATAAAATAATTCCTACTTTTATAAACTTTTGTTGGTTATCTGAGAAATCTGGCTTATCTCAGCTACTCTCTTTTGCTATACTTAGAAAATAATAAATAAGCACCATTTTTCTTCCAAGCTTAATACATTACTTGTTCATATGAATGTTGTCTCATTGAGATTTTTTTTTAAATGCATAGCACAAAAGCTGTGGTCTTTGTATTTTATAGTTAAAAAGTTGTTTATATTAATAGGGTATAATCTCTTATTTCGTCTATCTGCCCCCCACTCTATATATACCATCATTTTATAGTTGACAGAGGAACTATACTTTTATTTGGATTTGACATTTTACCATTGGTGTATTCTATTGTGCAAATCATTTATCATTTTACTGTTTAGAACTTAAACAAATTGTTTTTCTTACAGATCTGGGTCATTTGGCTTTTCAGTACAACTATTTTCAGTCTAAAAAATCTTTTTGCCTAGGTGCTGGAAAGCTTTAAAATCATGGACTATAGTTTGCTGCTTGGAATCCACATATTGGACAGTGCTGCAAAAGAGAGAGAAGGCGAGAGTTCTCAAAACACATCTGATTCTAAGCGCCCAGGAGGACAAAGGGTTCTCTATTCCACAGCTATGGAATCAATACAAGGTCCAGGAAAAACTGGGGACTGTGTTATCACAGAAAGCACCAATACGTAAGTCCTGAAAAATCTACGCTTAAAGAAAAAGTTACTGGATGCTCCTAAATCTGTTTTTCACTTTTCTGAATACTGCATCTAAAATAGGCCTGTTTGTCTATCAAATTTTGAAGGACAGATTAAATCAAATCTCCTTTGAAGGACTGAGGCTGTTCTGTTGACTATAAAAATTTAAAATGATTATCCATTATTTGTGTGTGTGCGGGGGGGCACATTAAAATATTTCTTTGTTGCTCCACACCCAAACAGAATCTGGAGCAGTCCACAGTACCAAGAAAAAATAAAAAAAAATAGTAAGTTAAAAACATTTTAAAACAAAATTACATTAAGATTGTGGCTGGTCAGCAGGAAAAGGCTTCATAGGGTAAGAAGCCTTTAGCAAGTGATGAAAAGAGCACAGTATTGGTGCCTGTCTGACCACCCATAGAAATGGGGCCACCACACTGAAGGCTTCCTACCTGGTGGACTCCAGTCAGACCATGGTGCATGATATGCTTTAGAACTAGGATACAATGTCCCTAATTCCCTAGCATTGTTGGTACTGTGACACAATATTTTGGGCAAATAAATAACAGAGGAGTAATGAATAATGTTAAATATGTAAGGGGATACATAGGATCTTTGAATTATTAGAAAAGAAACACAATGAAATGTATGAAAAGAAAAAAGAGGTCTACTTTTAAAATTAATTTTGTTCCTCAGATCTTGTTGCCCCTAGCATGTGGCTTTCAGCTATTCAATCTAAATACCATGAGGCTCTTTTGTTTGAGTTGAGTTAGCACATTTCAGTAGGGATTTTCGAAAGAAAAGTTTAACATACAGTGTCTTGAAATTATTTTGTTGCTGCTGTCAGAATGGGAGGCATTCCAGCTAAAAGCCACAAAGGAGAAAAGCTGCTGCTATTTATGGGCATTATTGATATCCTGCAGTCATACAGGTAATGTGGAATAATATTTTGTATACCTATTTAGTTGCTAAATTAAAGTGTTGATCTTGTAAACTAAAAGAACATATTTCACTAAGCTAATTTTTTGGGATGTGTCATCAGGTTAATAAAGAAGTTGGAACATTCCTGGAAAGCACTTGTTTATGATGGAGTAAGTCATGTTTAAAAATCTTAGAATGTTTGGATATGAGTTTTTGTGTTAACTAATCTTACTTCTAGCAATTATATGGCACATGTATTAATTGGATACATACACTGTTGCACAGCAGTGTCATTTATGCATTCACTTATATGCAGTGTTATCAATGTGCACAATCCTTTGTAGAATAGAATGAGAAAAATAGTGCAGGACCCCATTTCAAAGACATTTACAGTCTTCATGGTGGTAGTAAAGGAAAATATATATGTGGAGGGAATATATATATGGAGGGAAAAGGAGAGGCAACAGGCAAAGAAGGAATGTATGTGAGTACACAGTTAACTGTGCATAAAGACTAGACAGTTACCTTTCTCTGCAATATTTGCACCAACTGTAGTGCAAGTACTTTTCTTAAATTAAAAGACAAGAAATAAGCTAAACTTTCCAGTATTGAACAAGGATAGAAAACATCCTAACCCTCTTAAAACCAAAGACAGAGTTCACTCACCACAATCACCCACATTCCAGAATTAATTATGGTTTTAATGTGGTTTGCCACTAAATTGTAGGTGGTTGTGGAAATGTGGATTATCATGTTGAGATAACGAACCCTAATGAACCATCCACAGTTCATAGTACAGTGACAAGCCATAATGAAGGTTCTCTTCATGGGTTATTAATGGTTAACAAGTCATGGCTTGTTAGTGCAGCTGGCTCAGACAACAGAACCCACATTTCAACAACAGCCCACACTCAACCTCTGAATGTGGGTTATCACCTCTGGACCTCGTCATGATATTGGCAATTCATCCAATGTGGACTCTTATTCTGCCCTTTTTATTATTTTTTTGACTTCCTCAGACAGTATCTGGAAAGTCTGTCTTCACTATGTCATATAAGCCTTAAGAAAACATTTTTGTGTTTAAATAGAGGGAGTAAGCGTCAAGTTGAGAATGTATTACTCTGTAAATATTATTATGAAATCTAATGGGTAGGAGACAAGTAAATTTTGCCAATGATAACTTTGATAATGAAGACATAAACGTCATTTTAGTTAGAAGATCTATGATGGTTTCACAGTGTAATTAAAAAACTCTTCTATAAACTTTATGGTCTGTTGTTAATATTTTTCCTCTTTTGTTTTTGACTGACATAATATGACTTCTTTTTGTCTTGTAGGACACAGTTTCAGTCCACAGACCAAGTTTTTATGCTGACAGGTTTTTAAAGTTTATGAGTTCCAGAGTATTCAAAAAAAATCAAAGTAGGTTCCAAATTGTCATTAACTAACTTAGGGTCAGACTTCACATTCTGTTTATCCTATGGAGACCAGTTGCAAATAGCTTATGTATGACAATTTTGCCAGGAAGATAGTGAGCATTGTTGGTAGGTGTTCTACATCAGTTTCCCCCAGTCAGTGCCATGTAGATATGTTGGATTGCAATTCCCATCATTCACTGTCCTGGGTGGTGGGGTACGTGGGATTTTTGGAAGGACACTGTACTGTTTTGGAAGGAAGAGCTGTACTATATGAAATGAAATAGGAAGTAAAAACCTGTCTCAAACATTGTAAGGAAGCAAATAGCAGTAAAGGGCTGTTGCCTTCCCACAGAGGCTGCTAGTGTACAAGTTGAAAATGCCAGCCCCAGATGCTTATTTGCAAACACAGCAAGCTTGTAATTTGGGTACTTAGTTCAGGAAAAGGCAAGCTGGTAGTCCCCAGATATTTTTGATTACAAGTACCATAAGCCCAGTCTAGATGGTAAGGCATCATGGGAATTGTGGTTCAAAACATCTGGAGTATAGCCAGTTACCTAAGCTTGCAATTAGATATTATTTGCACTTTGTACTATAGAGTATTTTCACTGAAAAATATAGTGAATGCAAATGTGCAAAAGGTAACATGGACTTGATCCTTCCCGGTGCAGGCAGGCACAGAAATTCCCCATTAATATATGAACCACAATGCCTTCTCTGTGTGTACCAATTAGCATGCCAGGCAGTATGGGAAATGTCACATCATGCCTCCCATATCCCTGTCAGCTTTCTCTACTTTGCTTATTAAAGGAGCACGTATTTGCAGCTTGCATTCCTTGACCAAGCAAGGGCTTAGACTCATGGGAAATCTCCTGGACAGTGCCAGTTGTAAGTGTGCCAAAGGTACTGGGGCAGTAGGGAAGCCAACAGGGCTCTTCTCTGCAGGGTACTGTTGAAATCTCTGCACATGCACATGTGGTCTAATAGGAAAATAGGAAGATTTCAGGTTATTTTGGTAAATAGCAATTGAAATTCTTAGTCATTTCGGTTATCTGGAATAAATCCCCTGTATGTTAAAGTTTGCGTTGGACTACATTTTGAGTCAAACAAACTTTTGTCCTTGAAAGAGGAGTCCAAATCTGCAAGAGTTCAGCTTATATAACCATAAAATATTTATGTTGTAAAATACATTCCAGGGTTTTTTTTAAATGGACAAATGCCATTCATTCTCAGATAAAAAGATTATATGGAAAAAATTGTGCCAGGTATGTAGTCTGCTAGTAGCCCCTTGCCATTAAAAAGTTCAGTTTGAATATTGTTATTCTATTGCTGAAAGCCAATATTTATCAGATTTATAGTGTCCTATATTACAGAGCCTTCTGAAGACAATTACAGTCTTGCATGGTATTGATGTGATGGCCTGGAGTTATAAACAATAGAACTGAAGTGAAGCATGGCAGTTAGGATGCTGATGGCAATCACTTGAATAATCTGATCAAATCTGTTTTGTGGCAGTCAGCAACATTGATCAAAGTCTGCGCAGGAAATATTGCTGGTATAATTACTGCTTGTTGGCTATGAGAAGTGTCCAGACGTAAATTTCTGCCTTAATTTCTTCCTCTTTAAACACAGCTTTAAAGTCCTCACCCTCCAAGAAACGATGTAATTCCATTGCTGCTTTAAAGGCTACATCACAGGAATTTGTGTCTGTAGTTAGCCAAGACTGGAAAGATGAAAAACACGACTTGCTTACAGAAGGACAAAGCTACTGTAGCCTTGATGAAGAAGGTAAGGATGAAGGATGACTGGGCTGCACTGAGCTGGTAGACCAGCTGGGTCTACTCTGTGTATCCCAGTAAACTGCCCGTGTGTCTGGGTACTGGACTTAGCACTAAATTTCCTCCAATCAAGCCAATCCTATAAAGTAAAATGAGTTTATTTCAAAGGGAAAGGAAGAGAGGGTGAAAAGTTAAAGGGGAAAAGAATAAGGAATAGGTTTAGGAGAAAAGAACAGATTTAAAAGGGTAAAACACAAACCAACTTCCAATAGTATGAAGACTCCACAGTACATTGCCTTGACAGAAAATAACAACCACTAGCCCTACTCAGCATTACCTAGGCAAGAGTAGCAGTCCAGCAGTGCTGGTGTGCAAAACACCACTGGTCATTTATCGGTCCAGGCAAAGCAAATAACCCCATCCGTGTGGCATGTGTTTTAGGCACATCCTGAGAACAGGGTGATAGCTCAGCAACTAATCCTAGGGCTGTCCACCCCCAACTCTTGGAGCATTTCCCATCTAGGCTCCTGTCCAGCTGTAAGCAGTCAAGCACCAAAAAGCCATAGCAAATAAAACACAGTTGCCCCAGGACAGAACTATCTCCCCACCTCAGATAAGCCAAGGGAACAACCTTCTAGTTGTCTTGTCTCCCACTCTGCACCAGGGATGATCAAGGGAAGAGAGGAGAAAAGACAGATACTCCATTAACCCTTGACCTCTTGTCCTTGGATCATCTTCACAGTATTTACAGGATCATCTTCACAGGCTTTTTGTGACAGAGGCGGCATAAAAATGCTATAATTAATAATAATTTAAGAGCTGCCTGCTCTGTAAGATTTTTCCCCCAGTGCTGGAGTTCATAGTCCATCTGTGTAATTATTTTTTAAAGTGAAAGGTGTAATACAAGAAGAGTTTAACTCCATGTTTGGAGAAGTCTCTACATGGCCCTTCAGTCCACATCTGTGTAGCTCCCGCAGTGCTGCAGTATGAGATGCTCCCAGTTCGATTTACTGGGCCAATGTGGTTCTTTCAGTGGAAGCTGTGGCAAGCCATTAATGAATAAAGAGAATGAAGAATAAATATACCATCATCCTATTTGAAATCCTAATTATAAATGGAACCAAAGAATACTGAAACCTTCTAATGATTTCAGTTATATACCATTTGGTTTATTTCCTGTTAAAAAGTATAAATTTGTCCCATATCTTTGTAGAGCCTACAACAGAGGTAGGCAACCTGTTTGAGCAAGTTTGGCACTTTGGGAAACTTTCATGGCCACCACCACAAGATGGCTGCCATGGGAGGCATGGCAAAAGACAAGTAATCTGCCCAGAAACTGAAGTACAAGGCAGGATAGATGTGAGCTCTAAGCAGCTTTGAACTCATAATTTCCATCTATTTCACAAACAACCAAGCTGTCAATAAGAAAATGTTACTTTTTTAAAAAGTGGGAAGATAGGGCATTTTTGGTAGATATTTAAAAAAGTGTCTTGGGGCACATTGATGACTGTGGGCACCATGTTGCCTACCCCTGGATTACAGGTACTTGAAAATCAACAGGTATCATTGGCTATTAGTGTGTGCAACTGAAAATCAGTCTTAGAATCCCAATGCCCCACCTTCCATTTGTTTTCTCTGGCTGCATTCAGATGATTGTTCAAGACTCCATAAACCAAGTTTTATGAAGCTCTGGACTATCTTGTGGTCCTCTTCTGCCCCTCTTTCCACTGTGCATTTACCACAGAAACCCTGACTTGATTACCTACTAGCCTATTTTCATGGTTTGTTAACCAACATTAATCCATGAATCAATGTTCTCCACTTTGGACTCAACAGGGAACTCTGGCTTAATGCAAGCTAGGATCTTTGGGCCAAAGCCAACATACATTGAGAGTAGGGGAGGCAGAAGCACACAGCCACACCATTTACCCACAACTTCATAAGCCATGATTTATAATAGCATGGATGCTCATCCAAATGCAGCCACTATGTATTTTTCCACAGCAAGTAAGCTTGTAAACTTTTCCATTGATTGTGGATTAATTTCACATCTTAAAAATAAAATTTATACAAAAACTCTTTACATAAACTTTTCTTTTCCTATGCAGTATTAGCTTCCCGACATCGGCCTGATTTAGTGCCAAGCACAGCCTCCCTGTTTGAAGCTGCATCTTTAGCAACCACAATTTCTTCTTCTTCTCTATATGTAGATGACAATTATCCACATGATGGAACTAGGTTTTATGCTAGCAGGTAAGCAAAAGATGTCATTTTTAGCTTTGATATAAATGAGTGAGCTCCTTTCTCCCCATCTTGCCATGTTCTGATTTATAGTTAATATTGGGAAAAACAGACAATTTATTACCAGTAGACTCCTGACTATATCAAAGCCTAGAATTCTCTGAGCCCATAGCATCTCAGCCAGATTGGGTCCTCTCACTCCAATTGAACCATTGGATTTACCCAGGGTGGATTTGATTTAAATCTATTTGATTTAAAGCACAATTTAAATCACTAGTCAGTAAGACTAGATTTAAATCATGGTTTTGTAGATAATTCCCATGCAGGCCTGCCTTACCTGTAGATAAAGGAACTTCATTAAAATATTCCCATATTGGGTCTCTTTTATGGCCTGCTACCATTATAGATTTTCTCCTCCAGGGAAAGAATAATATACACAGGCAATGCATAAAAAGATCCAAAGACTTGTGGAGTATTCTGCTCAAAAAGGTTTTTTTCATTTTTATTGCTTGCCCCTCCCTCCTCACACTTAGCTTCTTGTGCATATCTGTTCCACTCCCAACAATCTTTTATTCATTGAATTTTTTGAAACGTGCTACTTAAAAGGGCTGCGTTCTGTGTACATAGATTTGCAAAAGAACAATGGTATTAAGGACTTTTTATGTCCATTTTACAACATTTTTGCTGTGAAGAAGAGGCATGTAATCTCCGCAGACACATATTTACAGTTTTGAGAACTATAAAACTAAGCATATGTGATAATATCTTATAGATAAAAGAAGTGCCCAATAATACTAGAGAAACCTCTGGAAGAGCATGACATTGTAAATGGATTAATGGAATTCATTTATCAAACAAATTAAACATTGCATGAATATATAGTCTCATGCTACATAATTAAAAATTAATTCTCATTTGATGATGAATAACTTTTGGACTATAAAGTATTTTAAATAGAAAACTATCTTTTGACAGATATTTACTCAAAAAGCATTTTATTTTTTTTAATCTGATTTATTTATTTTTAATCTGATTTAATTTTCTAAAAATCCAATTTTAATAAAAAAGCAAAATTTACATTTAAAAAAAATCATTGATTTTTATGCACCCTGGATTTACCAGAGGTTGTGTGAACCTAGAGGAGCCCTGACTGCATCTGGATAGGATAACAGTGCCCCTAGACCAGTGATGGTGAACTTTTTAGAGACCGAGTGCCCAAACTGCAACTCAGAACCCATTTATTTATTGCAAAATGCCAACACTGCAATAAAACCTGAATTTGCTGACCACCAGCACAAGGGGGCAACGTTCCACTGACCACCAGCTTTTGACCGGCCCTGAAAAAGGCATCTGAGTGTATTTCCTACCTTTCTTACCTTCTGCTAAAATCACAGTTGAAGCAAATCCCTGGCAGCTCACTGACCAGCCATGTGAAAGCTCAGTGAGTCGCGGCTAATGAGTGATGTCGTTGCCTGGCGCCCTTAATCTTTCCATATATTAGCATGGCTGCTGGGGTGATTGTGTGCTGACAGAGAGGGCTCTGTGTCCCCCTTTGGGCACGTGTGCCATAGGTTTGTCATCACTGCCCTGGACTGTCATCCAGAGTTCTCAGACCATAATGGTCATTGTATCCCATGCAATTATTGACTCCCCCTACAATCCTGTGCCTGTCTACTCAAAAATGAATTCCATTGAATTCAGTGGGCCCCATCCCCAGGTAAGTGTTTATAGAATTATATCCTATGTTTAAAAAAATGGTGGTTTTGCCTCTTGCTGGATAAAACCCTGCAGTGAATTGTTTGGTAGTATCAAGTAGCGTCCCAGTTTTAAATCCTTTCTCTCCACACTCCCATCCACTGGGCAGGCTACTCTCAGTACTGCATTAAGAATTCCTGGACTACACCTTATTCTTAACTTAGTACCATTGTAGTTGTAGAGTAGAAAAGAAATTAAAGGCAAAAGGTGAAGATGGTGTCATGAGTGTTTCTGTATAATTTGCTGGTTAATGGAATTAGTTATACTCTAAATTTTTGTTCAGAATTGTGCTTTGCCTGGTGTTTTATTGGAATGTTTGATAACCTCAACATTTTCTCCTGCAGTAATTGGTTTTCTACCTGTTCTTTTATCTGTCTGACCCAGGAGAAAGTAACTGAAATGTGTTTAGGTTATCTGTCAGTTTCCTCTTGAGTGGCTTAGGAACGAGTACTATGCAGTATTAAGGTGCTGAGTATCTTTGTTTGAAGATAAGCTGAGTTAAGTGATAGCCTCCAGCTGTTTACATAAAAATATATGTTCATAAATGCTTTTTAGAAAACTGCCTTGACTGACAACATGCTGCAGTATTACTTTGCTTCATGGGAAAAGGCCTATAGTGATAGCAAAATCAGCATTAATATTTTGTAACTGGGAAGATATCTCTTTATACCTTTGAAATAAAGCATTTTTTCATCATGTAAATATTGAATCACTGCCACAGGTAAATTTAACTATGTTATTGTTAGGCAGGATGACTGAATGAATGTAAAGGATCTCATATCTTCACATCTGTGAACACAAACCCCCACTGCTATGTAAAATGATATATTTCTCTTCACTCTCCAATACTACTTCTCTGGATGTGGAGGCATTCATCATATACATACGATCATATACATACTATTATTCTTTGTTAATCTGAAACAACTACCATATTTCTCATTATTGATGCACTATTAGGAGCACAGAGTAGAATGCATGGTAGGTGTTTTCTGCATATTCCAAGTTGATGTTCTTCCACCTTATTGCAGAAATCTGTCTTTCAACATCCTATACTGAAGCTGAGAAATCTCTGATGCCAGCTAGAAGTACAAGAAATTAGTGGGCAAATAGCCTTCCAACTGCAGTGAATACTAATTAAATACACAAAGAAATACAGATATGTTTTTCAAATTTTCAAATCATTGGGCTACACAAACATGCTGTGCATAGTATTTCCATCACAGTAGCTGTGTCTGTTCCACAAAATACACAAACATATTTTCTCAAACTCTATACTGTGAGTTTACAGATGTTATGTTTATGTGTGACAAAAATCAAGGGCCTTGCATTTGCCGGTACCTGAGAGAAATTGTACTGAAAACAATCTTCTCTTTGGAAACATCATGACAGATGCCATTGCCAATGTCCACCCTAATTACTGATAATGCCGAGTTGCTTTGGCAAATAACTTAGGTTTGGTAGAACAAAAGACCGTTTAATGTCAATCAGGTTCACTTCAAAGTCAGAGAGTGTATTAAAAAGTCAATTCCACTTACTGTTTTTCAATAACATCTGTAGTACTTTGCAAAACAGGAATTGCATTGCAAATAAGGTATCTGGCCCAGAAAGCATCCTAATGATATGGTGAGTTGCTTTTCATCACTACTCTGAGCCTTTCTGCAGCTGCAAACAGTATCAGGCTTATAGAGTGCTACTACTGTGCAGTTAGGATTAGGATTAGGATTTATTAAATCAGGGCTATGCAAAATTGGCTACCTGCATTTTGCCTGTTACCTGCATTTTTAGTAATCTGAATCTTACGCATAGAATTATATTTTTCAGTCTTAAAAAGGACTGACAACTAAATACTTGCTTACTAGATATGCTTACTTGAAATAAATTTGGGAGGTGGGGTTGCATTACACTGTAGTGATGGTTGTTTCATCACAGTTGATCTTTTTCCTTAGACTGGGGTAAATTTATGGGAAAAAATCTAATATGTTATACATATGGGAAAAATGTATCTATTCCATCAGCTTCTAAGCATATAGCTGATTAAAACAAATAGTGCATGGTTTCTACATTGTTTTGAGTATGCAGGTTTACCTTTATATAAGTAATATTTTGTAGAAGAAATGTCATATGTGAAGCAGCCTTGAGTTGCTGAAGTAGGTACAAAAGATACTTCTCTTGGAAAACAGCTGCATATTAATTCATATTAAATACATGGGTCATGTTGACCCGGTTTTGCCTTGAAAGTATTATTATGCATTTATATCCCTTCTTTTTTCTTCCTGTGAAGAATCTAAGTGAATTTACATAATCTTCCTCCTTTCCTTGTTATCCCCATAACATTCCTCAGGCAAAGTCTCAGTGACTGGCCCAAAGTCATCCAGAGAGCTTCATGGCCAAGTAGAACTAGAACCCGGATCTCACAAATCCCAGTCTAACACTCTAACAACTGTGCCACACAGACTCTGTGCTATATTGGCTTTGTATGAGTAAAATTGCCCTTACCTCCCCAAAAGAATACCAGGAACTACAACTAAGGAGGGTTGCTGAATATTTTCTTGAATATCCTCGCAGCAAATATTTTCTAGTTCCATGTTTGAGTTGAAAATAGCAAGGTTGATGGAGTAGATTCCATCCTTTCCCACAAAAAACACTTTATGCAAGTTACATTGACATCCTTTTTCATGTCATCTCCTTGCTTTTCTTTTTGTAGATTAGGTATACAAATAATCCAAGTTACTCAGGGATCATGTAGTGAAAAGGAGGACACTGTAATACGATGTGGCTGTTTGCCTGGAATATGTGGTCAAAGAAAGCAAGAGGGGCAAATGAAAAATTGTGTTTTCAGAACTGAAACTTTAAAAGAAAAGTCTGATTCCAAGTCTAATCTGTCCCTGCCTAGCAAATTGCAATTCCCAATGTTCTCTGGAGATACAGCGGTACCTTGGCTCACAAACTTAATCCATTCCAAAGATTGTGGCCGTCTCCCCACCCACACCCCGAGCACAAGTGTGGCCATCTCACCACAGCACAAGCACGGACATAGATGGACGCACTCATGGGCATGCTGGGGGGAGAGATGGGTACAATCGCGGGTGGCTGGGGGGAGAGACAGACGTGGGGGAGGAGATGGTCGAGATCGTGGTTGCGCTCTTGCAGGAAACGAGGGTGCGATCTCAGCCATCTCCCCCCTCCCAACACGATCATGGCCATCGGGGAGGTGGGGAGGAGATGGCCCCAATCGCAGTCACTACCCAATGTGGAGTCTGCGACCTGAGTCAAAATTTTTATGAAATTTTTGTTCGTGACCCAATGTGATCGTGAACTGAGGCGTTCTTGAGCCAAGGTACCACTGTACTTAATTACTGTTAAACCGTTTTAAGTCTGTACAGTAGATATTTCCTCAGAATAACAACTTTAGAAAAATGTGTTGCTAACAGCATTGAGTTAATGTACTGTCAGGACCACCTTTTGAAAATATACGGAAATGTTTCATCAGTTGCATTGAATCATATAAGGGATTAATTTAGTAGTAATCAGTCACCCAATTCAAACATCACAACATGGATTGTTGGTGGGTTAACTCTGAGTTGCTTAACCCCTAAATAGCCAACAATAAACAGAAGTCACAATCGTAATCCTAGATTTTTAATTGAAAGTGGAAGTGACAAGCATGGTAGAGCCAATATTTTTGCTTGGTCCCACTAGATTTTGATGATTATGTGGCTTTAATTGCTGTTATGGAAAAACAATGTGGGAAGTGGTCATTGGTAGTTCTGGTCTGGATAATCTACTGGAACCTGAGTTTCATGAGTACTGCCTTTTCAATAAGGAGTAACATTTGCTTGCCTGATACAATGCCATATGCTATTTGTTTGAGATTCAAGCTAGTTTACAATGCAAATACAAAATTAACCTCTATAAATGTGCTTGTTTTAGAGAAAGAAAATGAGTGAATTTTTCCTGGGGAGATTTGCCTTCTCACTGTGCACCTGCAGACAGACAGCACCAATCTTTCTGGTGCTGTTTCCAGGCTTTAAAATGACATGGACATATTAATTATTATCCAAATTCTGATTAGTGAATTAGCCAAGAGTTCCTTCCTAATGCAACCAATAAAATAAGCACACCACTTAAGAATACAGGTGACCCCTGAATTATGAACTACTGTTCTCAAGAAAACAGACATTTGTCTTTCAGTTGAAATTGTATGTGAGTTGGATCACATATAGTCAGCCCTCCACATTTGCAGGGGCTAGGGATTCAAGACCCCTGTGAAAGTGGAAATACCACAAATATCTCTGGGCTCCCTCCCCACCCAAGCTCACTGGTGCCTCTTTGCAGCAAGGAAATGCTGGAGACAATGGGCAGGGCAGGAAGGCATGCTTTGGAGGCCTTCCTCTCCCCCCCTTTTGTTTCCTGTCTCTCTGTGGTGATAGCCATTTTCACAGTATTTTTTGAAAAAATTAATAGGGTTTATGGCAGTTTGTTCGTAAGTATGGGTTGCTCAAAACTCAGATGTTCATAACTCAGGGATTGTCTATAATTCGACTATGGAAGGAATGCCATTATTGTCATCATTAGCTTTGATTGAATTCACAGTGGTGTAAGTCAATGAAGTGTCATATAGGAATCTGTGATGAGCAACATATGCTCAGGACCACATTTTCACTTGTCAGATACAGCTCTGTTTTACTTTTTAATTAGGCAAATACACATTCTTTTCCTACCAGCTCAATTTAAAGTGCTGGTATTAAAGTTCAAAGTCCTACAAGGGTTGAGGCCACATTACTTGAAGGATTGTCTCATTCCATACATTCCTGGATCATTATCAGTGGCCTTTTCCTGGGGGTCCCTGCCAAAGGAGGTGAGGTGGAATTTTCCAGAGGTGGTGCGGGATGCCCTCCTGGGAGATGCTCATCTGGCATCTGTGTTGTGATCTTTCTGGTACCAGGTGAAGGTTTTTTAAAAATATAATCTCAGGCTTCTTAACCTTTAGTTTTAAAAATGGTTAGTACATTTTTAGATCTTTGCACTGCTGCTGGCTTTTATCTTAGTTCCTACTTTATTTTTATATTCTGTTTTACTGTAGTGGTGAATTGTATGCTTTTAAGTTTGCTTGTGAATCCCCCAAACAGCTTTGGCTAACAGGTAGTAATATAATAAGGGGAGACACACTTGTGTGGATACCTTACACTTTAGGGAAGGGCTTTGGGGATAAGCACAAGGAAAGATGCTGTGGTTGTTGGTATGGGAGGAGGGGCAAATGGCTTCACCCTTACCACCTTGCTCATGGTAGTTGAAAGCAACTCAAACACAAAGTAAAACCAGCTTGGGGTATGGCTCTTTCATGCCCATTCATTTTTCACCTAGGTTTGGGGAAAATAAAGAAGTTATGTGTTCTTCCACAGTTGTAAAGAAAGATTTGTGTATATGCTGATTAATTGTACAAATCTTACTCTGTACATTTCTTACTCTTCCCTCCTAGCTTGGGGCCAATAAGTAATTTGTTTACAAAATACTTCAGGTATTGGTTAGATGGAAGTTTGCATCATAACTCTAGAATTCTTGTCCCATGAAAAAAGATGCTGCTTTTTATATTAACATTATAGTTGACCATGATAATACTCCCATTTCCTATGTCTTTGACTCTTTCATTCATTTTCCTGTCCCATATTAATTTGAGAGGTATATGCTATGCATATCTTCAAGATTACATTTGGTACCAGTCTTTTATTGCATTTTATTTAAAACAAACTTCTTTTCTGTCAACGGTTATTATTGTGTCAGAGTTTTTATTTTTCAAAAGATGATGAAATATAGTGCACATTAAACAAGCACTTCCAGTGTTCTTCTGGCAATCAGCCTATACTGTGCTTGCTTGCATTTAGCTAAGTACTGGCAAAAATAAGTGAAATGTTGTTATCTGAGATAGGAAAGGGGGACTTATCCCAACCTTACTAATCTGTGTGAAACCATAGATAACACACAGACACAGGCGTACACACACACACACACACACA